AGAGAGAGAGAGAGAGAGAGAGAGAGAGAGACAGAGAGAGAGAGACAGAGAGAGACAGAGAGAGAGAGAGAGAGAGAGAGAGAGGCAGAGAGGCAGAGAGAGAGAGGCAGAGAGAGAGAGGCAGAGAGAGAGGCAGAGAGAGAGAGGCAGAGAGTACATTAAATATTCTATTTTTTTGAGTTCTAATTAACTTGCTATCCGATTGCAGTTTGAAATTTATAGCTTAAGTTAACTGGGACGACTTGTACACTCCTCGAAATCACCCCTCCCGACCCTCCCCATTTCCTTCCTTGACAACCGCCCATTTTTCAAAACAGCCGCCTACTTTTTCGACACAGCCGCCTACTCAAAATAATTCTGAAAGCCCTGCAGTATACCTGTAATTTCCAATGTTACCATGCGATTGCCGCACTGGCCTATCGCGGTGCAACTCTAATTATATTGCCTATAACAAATTAACAATGCGATTATATATCTCTAATTTGGACTATATTTATCACTTACGAGAACCAACTTGTACAAGTACTCCATAAATTTGGAATACATGGATAGATAGATAGATAGATAAATAGATAGATAGATTTAATAAAATACTTCGCAGCCATAGGCTGAATTGCGTATTTTTTTACAAGTAAATTTAACTAATTACGAGAATATAAAAGAAGAGTTTATCAAGCCATTATGATGACATTCCATATAAATATTATATATACAAGATGTTTATTACTTTAATATACTAAAAAATTTAAAATTATTAAAAATATTAGGTCATTTCAATAGCATTAGATAAATGATTTGCGGCACGAAGCCACAAAAAAACTAGTTTGAAAACGATTAGTGTTACATCTAGGAATTTCAAATTTCCTATCGTTTCTTAAATCATAAAAAGAAGTATGTATAGGTGGCAGTAAACTTCGTAACTTATGATTTTCATCAGCAACTACTGTTTGAAATAAACTAGTACAAATATTTTCATGATGAACAGACAGTAACTCCAATCCACAACTAATTAAAGCGTCTTCGTAATTAGTGTTTGGACAGATGATTCTAATAGCTCTTTTTTGTAATCTTTCCAATTCGGAACGCAAGTATTTTGGCAACGAATAGTAAATGACAGGGATACCATAGTCGATAACAGATCGAATACATGTAACATAAAATAGAACCAGATCATTCCGACGAATGCTGGCCCGTTTGAATTGGATCAGGTAATAGATTCGTTTGGATACTTTTTTAACTACCTCTTCGATATGTAGATTCCACGTCAGGTTATTATCGAATGACAAGCCCAGAAGTTTAACGGATTTTACGACTCTAATACTTTTATTGTTAATAAGTATCGGGTTAAAATCACGAGGGACTTTTGAGAAGGAAATACGGAGCTCCTTACATTTCTCTTCATTCAACTTCATTTTATTGTTTTGGGACCATTGTGACATCTCATTAGCAATTGTCTGTGCTCTACTCTGTTGGTTTTTGTCAACTGTTTCCGATACTGTCGTATCGTCCACGTATTTCCATAAGTCAGTATCTGTGATAGATAAATCATTTATCAGGATTAAAGAGCCATGGACCTAAAATGGTGCCTTGAGGGACGCCCGAAGGTACTGCACCCCAATCTGAAAAACATCCTTGTGAAAGTTTGACTCTTTGGAATCTGTTACTTAGGAAATCAATAATCCAATTTATAACACTTCGTGGTAGATCTAACTGAAGTAGTTTATTGAACAAAATTCTGTGATCAATTAGATCAAAAGCTTTTTGGTAATCGAATAGAATGATTCTAGTTGTAGAACCGGTACCGTCAAGCCCGGAGGTCCAGTTATGCACCATTCTAAGAAGAGCAAAAATCGTCGATGATTTAGGGATCGCTCCATACTGATTGGGGTCAATTTTCTTCAAAACAGCTGGTTTCACATAATCATTAACAACGAAATGCTCTGCAACCTTCGAAATATTAGGTGTTAATGAAATGGGCCTAAGTTATTTTTTCAGGTCCTGTACTATTTTTACTTTTGGCAGCGGTGAAACATTCGCAAGTTTCCATATTGCAGGTAGGCGTTGTTGTTTGTAGGATGCATTTAGGAGTAGACTAATTGGGAGGGCAAGGATTACAGCATACTCTCGCAAGAGCCAATTGGGCACTTCGTCAGGGCCACCACTTTTACTGGGGTTGAGTTTTTGTAGCTGTGATAAAACCCTTTCTTCAGAAACTTCTAAGAAGTCTGGGTTTTCCTCTAAGTTAAGTCGCTCTAACGGTGAAGATAGTTGATATTCTGATAAGGGCTCAAGAAAAGCTGTATTTATTCTGTTTGCTAGTTCTTGTTCCGATATATCTTCAAAACCAGCGATATTTATCAAATTTATTAGGGAGCTATTCATTGATTTCATTCCTTCTAGGCGTTTGATTTCACTCCACCAAGTTTTAGGGTTATCTTTTTCTTTACTGTGAACCTGGGTCGTATAGTATTTTGATTTACACGCTTTTCTCTCGCGATTGACAATATTTCGGTAATATTTAAAGCAGTTGGATTTTGGACCGTAACTGAAAAAGGCTTCTTGTCTTTTTTTTTATAAATGTTTTCAATTTATCGGTCATCCAAGGAACATCTGCGGAGATTTTCTTAATCCGTTTAATTGGCATGAGGAGGTCAAGACCAATAGCTACAATGTCATAAAAAAAATTCGCCATATCTTCGCAGCGTTGTGATTGAGCAACAATTTCAGGCCAAAGGATTGATTGTAAAAATCTCCCCATGGCATCTTTCTTACTCTGACGAAGGTCTCGTTTGTATACAAATGTAGGTTTTGCTTTTTTGACAATGTGAGTGGGTGAAACTACAACTGTGTTGTGATCAGATAATCCAATTGGAGGGAGTATTTGCGGAGACTTGTAGAACTCGTGCATATTAGATCAAGTATTGCTTCGCCTCGAGTTGGTGATTTAACAATTTGTTTCAACCGAAAATGCTTAATTATATGATTCACATTAAGACGATTGAAATCCCCAGCAATGATAATACCGCAGCTGTAAAATTTTGCTTCGACTTCGCTCAGTGTCTGAAATAAGTGACTCTGCATGCTGAAATCGTCGGCACTGGGGGGGTGGTATAGGACGGCAACTATGATTGAGGAAAATTCACGAGGAAGTCGTCTAGGTTTTAAATGAAGCCATAAGATTTCGTGTTCGGAACAACATGAAATTTCTGAAAGGATTTTGAGTTTTGTATCACCGTCTCTGATATAAATACAGATTCCGCCATGGTTGTTTATAGATCTATCTTTGCGTATGATTGTAAACCCAGGTATGCTTACAACGCTATCTGTAATTGAGTCATTGAGCCAAGTTTCAGTTAGAAAGGATAAGTTTATCTCATTTTCCATCATGAATTCGCGGACTTCGTCTATTTTAGGGGCCAAAGATCTCACATTAGTCACCATTAATTTTGGAATAAAATTACTAATCCTCTGTTTTAATGTAGTGGTATTAAGTTGATGGAGTTCTGTAGTAAGGGGCTTACATGGCAGTGTACAGTTATTTGGAAAGTCAACAGATTCGTTTAATAATGACTGGGTGGTTTTGTTGGGATGTCCATCAGGGGAGGCATATAAGGGTAGTTTACGTGGGGATAAAAAAAAGGGTGTCTCATAGTATTTAGGTGACTTTGAAAATGATATGGAGTTTGTCCGTAAAACGGGGGTGGAAAAAATTGTTGTTGGTGTGGTTGAAAGGACTGTTGTGGTTTAGCGTGGGAGAAATCACATTTCAAACCCTTCAGGCAATGACCCTTTCTGCGTAAAAAGGGACATGGAACGTGAGATTTAGGGTTTTTTGTGTGTCGGGGGAACCTATCTTGGTATGGAGCGGGTATTTCGTTCCTACCCGCAATTTCTTCTGAAACATTATCGGTTCCAGCGTTATTTAGATTTGCCGCGCCAACGTTGTTTTGATCAGATATCTCGATTATACTAATGTCGGGGGCGTTGGGATTAGTCGTTTCATTAATTTCTTTTGTTTGGGCGTGAGTTAAAATATGCATATCGGTGGCAGGTTTGCCATTTCGATTTTTAACTAACTTTCCCCCATTTTCAACTGATTTTTCACCTTTACTCTGGCCCATAAACTCAACTAATTGTTCAACAGTTTGAGACAAAGTTTGTATAATTTCTCTGTTGATTTCTTGACCCGATTTTAGTTCCTCAAAGTCGAAAACAACATCAGCACATGGACAAGACGACTGCCGCGTATCTACATTCGTCTGGCATGACATGTCCGAACTAACTACATTTTTAACACTTGAATGTAGACTATTCAAAATCTTTTTACATAAATGTTGATACACTTTACCCATTTCGTCGCCTTCAATCTGCAGGAGACCTTTGCCTTTTCTCCACGAGATCAAACTGTCATTAAACTTAAACACCTTTTTGTCGCCGCCGGGATGTTCCCAAGTGCCGTCTAGTTTTAGATCATCAGCGATTAACAACTTCAATGAATCAAAATCTCCAGTCCAGGCAAAACTTATATGATCAATAAATGAAACCATTCTGTAACGTATAGTGACTCTGAAGAAGATATAAACGTAAACACAGTCCCGTGATACTTCCAGGTTAATGACATATTTTCCTTTGCAGCGGCGTGTAGGCGCAGTGTGCGAAGGCTAGGATGTTGGCATGTTAGACGAGGTCTCCAGTATCGGCCCAAGTTTAACCTGAGTATCAGGCCGTACTTTTTAGGGCACAGGCACGCCTGATCGCGGGCGAAGGGGAGAAAAGTACGGCCTGATACAGAAGCGGCATTTTGCCTGGTTATTCAGTCCAGAATCTGGACTGAGCGCTGATTGGCCGATTAGCCAAACGATTTTTTAAATCTGTCATTTGATTGGCTGGCGCTAATTAGATTATACTATTGTTGTTGATATATTTTATAACGATCACAACTACAATTATAGCCGGCCCACTAAACTGCTGAATTTAAATTAAAACTGCAGTAAAATTAGAAAATAATCGCAAATTAGCGAAATATATTGCAAATGTAGCTTATATTAAATCGCCATCAGAATGCACTATCGAGTAACTGACGTATAGTTATAAAGTATACTTACAAAATTAAACGAAACTTACCTGGAAGTTGAAGTTTGATTGGGATTCTATCTTGGTCATCAGTCGGGAACGAAGGAGTAACATGAGATGCGCATGCGCATTGCTGATCAGTATTCAACGTGAGTAGTGCAGGAGATTTAATAACAAATATTGGAAGGGTGGGTATTTAGGGCATGTTACTCCTTCGTTCCGGACTGATGACCAAGATAGAATCCCAATCAAACTTCAACTTCCAGGTAAGTTTCGTTTAATTTTGTAATTCTATCTTGTCATCAGTTCCCTGTCACGAAGGAGTCCCATGAGATTTCAAAGTCCTGTGCTACAAACTATCAAGCACATTGAACAATGT